TTACGCACATGAGTCACTTTCAAACGCACACAAGTCAACACTAATGTATCAGAGTCACCTTCGGACACGCACAAATCAATATTAATGTGTGAAAGTCATCTTCGAGAGGGATGATGAATTATCTTCTTTAACTTGTATGTAAACCGATACTAATAACATACACGAGGCGCATTTGCAAGTACCCACAAACCGATACTGATGCGCACACGAAACAATATTGACGCAGATGAATAGTCTTCTATATCTTGTACGCAAGCGGACACTAATAACGTTGACGAGACACCTTTGGGTCAAACCGAGACTGATGCAGATGAATCACCTGGAACTCACGAACTAATTGGCACTAATGTATGAGATTTATCTTTTGGCGTATAGAAAGCGAGATTGACTCAAATAGTTCCACGTCTGCATCCTGTGGGAAAGTGAGGTCTAGTATAGTATTTGCAAGGTGATATCAATCCCATATTTCAAGAAAATTGCAAATTTAATATGGAAATTGATTGATCTATTATAATCTAGAAAATTAAAAAGGAAAACATTCTTTTTAGGATTTTTTATTACTTTTCCTCTAATTTCTAAGTGTGTTGATATGATTGCAAATTAAGTAAATGTTTGAAGATTATTTGGAAATTGATTAGGGTCCCAAAGTATTCATTACTTAAATGCCTCTACAACAGGACTAATCCAGCACTCCTTGACCCATTTTTTGATATCGTATATATTTATAAGAGATATGTATGTCCTCTCGGCTAAAAGGGTCGCATCCTTTTTTGAAAACATTTATGGTCCACGACAGGAACATTTTGTTTTAGTACAACACACACACATTCTCTCTCATATTGTTGAGGTAAAACGAGACTGACTATTTCTGATTGAGAAAAAGAAAAAGATAAATTCTGACTACCCATTTAGTAGGTTGGCATTCCTGCTGTGTCTGCCTACGCATCAGGCACTGGGGGAATGAAAATGACTATGCGAGGAAAGAACACCACCGTTTGCTTTACAGTTGCCAAACATTCGCATCGCACCCCAAGGAATACCAATGGGAAACGCTGTTTCAGAATAAAACGACCGACTGGTTGCCTCAAGCACTTCTCAACGAAGCGACTTCCATTAAGAAAATTGAAACATACACGCTGAAAACTCGACGTTTAAATAATAACAAGTACGGGCCTATTTTCAAAGAGAATGATAAACTGATGAACCGTAAGCTCACTATTAGGGTAGTAAATGTAGCCTTAAAGGTCTTGTTGGAAACTGAAAGCCGAAAAGTCTGGATACGGCTGAAAATAAAACAAAAGAAAGTTTTCCATTTAAACGACACAATCTGTCACATGATAAAAATGGAACATATTTAGGGAGAGACAAAGAGAGAGAGCTTTTCTCTTATCCTTATTAATAGACTCAAAGGATATCTATGAAAAATCCTCTTTTTAATACAGTACCTTAATTAGTTTCTAGCTACCATTTTGTTTGCATTATATTTAAGCAAACCTTGTTGTTCAAATTAAGTACCTAATAATGTATTAACATTTTCAATTTTTCAAGGATAAGCACCAGAATTTTCCTCAAAGTTTTGATTTTGTATTTGACAAGTAAAAAATGTAAATTCGGTGGAATCCTATTATTATTTGATGCCCGTTACCGAATCTACCGGAGCTTTCATCCCTTTATCGATAAATAAATCATATCTTTAAGTCTTATATTATTTATAGGTGATTATCCTTTTCACAATATCGTCATTTCTTATCTGCAACTGCTACCTTATTTACACAAACATCTCAGAGTATACAAGTGTTACGTTCATCTGGTTAAAAATTTAAAAAGAAAAATACAAAATGTTGATCTGANGAAAAACGAAACCATTCTAATATTAGCAATTAATTTTTTTCAATTATTGTTTTGGAAATTTAAATTGAAACTCAAAAAGAAATAAAAATCTCAAATTTCAATTATCTACACACGCTTTTCTTAAAATGCGATAAGTAATTTATCGGTCTCTTATCTCCAAAAAGAATTTTTGCGATTTCCTATTACATTTGGTTAAAATTCTCCAAAACTTGCTATTTATTTCACAAATATCCTGTATAGGTACTTAGAAGCTCAAGTTTTATCGTTAATTCGATATTAATTAATTACATCTATAAATGCCCTGTATTGTACGCACATATAATCTATATACACATTTAAGTATCTGTAACGATAAGTAAATATGTATTATTGGATTGCTTAGCAAACAGTTTTCGATGTGTAGCAAATATATGTATAAGGTTGAGGAAGTGGACAGTAAGTTTCCGGTCTTTCTGCTGATCAGGCAGCACACAGCGGCCAACATACCCAAAGTTTTCGGATTCGAGATCAACAAACAAACATGTCAAAGACCTCCGAGCCAATACTACTGTCGGATATTCCGTAATCTTGATTCTCCCGCCACTGCTGCTGCCATACAGGAATCCTTATAGCCGATGATTTCACGTCCTTTTGTATTCTCAGACCGTTGACAAACGATAAAAGAACGACCGAAGAAAGTTATTTCTAACTGGCGATCATCAATGAGAGAAGAATTATGTCCTGACTCCAGAACTTTTTTCCAACTTACCACTTTATCACTGAAGGAGCACAATAAAGAACAAGGATTCATCTACATGCATCAATTACGTATACTATTTATTTGTAACGTATTATTTATAAACCCACCCCAACTATAATATTAATCGATGCACTAATTTTATCTTCACAGGTAATAAAATACGGGAATTATATCTCTACTACTAGATATAATAATAGTTGAAGTGGTAACAGTTGAATTCCTCAAACTGAGAAGACGAATAATAAGTTTTGGGTAGTCAATTTCATTTTAAATTCAATTTTGCTACTTGTATTTGTGTTATATTAAATATGCGAATGGCTAATTTCATTATTATTCCTGCTGGTTCTTCAAAGGTCGGGTGCTTCAGAATTAGAATGTCAATATTGAAGTCTACGACAATTTAAAATAAAATGTTCAATTGTCTTCCGAACTCTGACATTTATTCTTGCTACAATTTGCTTTAAAAGGTATAAAAATTGCCAGAAAAAAAATCAAATATGTCTCTGCCTTGACTTCCATGGAGACCTCTGTTCTCCTATTTTTTGTCTAAAACTTCTTCATTTTTGACATTGTCTACCAGAATTTTTCGNATTCCTGCTGGTTCTTCAAAGGTCGGGTGCTTCAGAATTAGAATGTCAATATTGAAGTCTACGACAATTTAAAATAAAATGTTCAATTGTCTTCCGAACTCTGACATTTATTCTTGCTACAATTTGCTTTAAAAGGTATAAAAATTGCCAGAAAAAAAATGAATGAACAACGTAATGTTTTGTTTAATAAACTAATTTTCATTAAATAAATCAATAACCATACAATACTGATATAGATGCATGAGAACAGCCCTTTTTATGTGATCTAACTAATTAATCGATTATTATTATCAATGTCTAATAGTAACGGATGCGCCTTGCTCAGAGGTATTCTCTTATATGCCCTCTAAGTACAAATTGCAAGCAACTAACAAACCTTTTTCTTATAAAGAAATTCTTGAAGCGGGCGCTTTTCTTTGTGTGACCTTATGCGACAAAGCCGTTGATATTTTCATCAAGAGAGCGATTGATTGAAACTTCCTTTCTCAAATTTTACATTAAATTGACTAACTAATCAGTCCCAGTCACGCCTTCTCCGTCTAAATATTCACGGAAAAAAAAAGAGAACAAGGAACGTAGGACGCAACCGTAAATTTCAACACCCAATTCGTTCTTCATTTCAGCTGAATTCAAAATTGACGGTTGATGTCTGCCCTCTAGATCGTAAAACCTTGATATAATATTCATACCAAAATTACCGAATTCAGCGCTTCTACACGGCCTCTGTGAAATATTTAACAATAATCCTGGAAATAACGATTTTCTCTCATACATAGGAAACGGCGCCTCGTGAAAAAAAGGACTCCTTCGAGGATGAATTAGCATTACAATGACTAGCAGACTCAGGTAAAAGGAATTCAGAAGAAGAATAAGGAAACGTAAGGGTACAGTTGATATAAATTAAACATAAACATTTTAAGACAAATTAAGGAATCAACTTCTTAGAATCATTATGAATTTACAAGGGGACTACTCCCAAAAAGTTTTTTTACAATTTTTTCGGTCGCAGTTGTGAGTTGTGATTCCACAAGATCCGTTTTCCAAAAGTTATTGTAAGATATCCCTTTGAATAATAAATTTTTCTTTGCATTAACAATACCGGGGGGCAAACCGTAATCTCATTCATTTTCGGAAAGGGACTGACCAACAATTGTATTACGGCGTGTATGACAAATGGGTAGATCTGATATAATAACTCATATATATAAAAAGAAAACACCACTGGAAGAATAAAACGAGTCCAGTATATACGTCCAACACATTTATTATGTGGAAATGTTTATGACAGCAGTAGGAGAAAGTTTCAAAGTATTTTTTTTCTCTCTCGTGCCTTCTACAATGTTTATATATTTACTTCGTTTTTGTTTCGACAGAACAAACATTAGTTAGTAGAACAACAAAATTGAAAAACTGGTCAAGACACAGAACAAGGAATGGCATGAGTTCGGGTCAATTTCAAATAAAACGATTAATTTTGAGAATTCGAAAAAGTGTACGTTTGGAGCAGGAGTCTACATGGGTGCAAAGCGTAGAAGTTATAAACAATTGAAATGAGGTGCAGGAAGGATATGGGGAGATAGAGTGAGAGAGAGAGAGAGTATGGAATTCAAAGAAGAAAAACAAAACTATCGGATGGAGGAACGCCTTCTGAGACATGAGGAAATATATTAGAAGCAAAAGCAGAAGTAAAGAGGGGAAGACGAAGACCTAGATTAGATTACAATTGGCAAAGGAATATTCTAGTTTAATGATAGAAACGATAATGATGAATTGTTTTTTAAAAATATATTAATCAGTTTCGAATTTTATAAATCACATACATGAAAATTTTCGAAATTATAAATACTATTTCTACTAGTGTTACAAAACTAACTCCCAAAAACAAACCCCCGGTACCACCGATTGCGGCTAAAAAAATAAATATGAACATTTTACACATACATATATTGTTAAATTAAGAATGCAAATTTTAAATAATATTTTAAAATAATTACCTACAAGTTTATCAATACCAAAAATGACTTCTCGACGATATTTTGTAGTGGGAAAGATAAGTCCCCATCTGAATGTGATTCTTTGATCAAAGTAGCCCGTTTTCCTGTAAGCAATAGTCCTTTCTTATTTAAAACTGCACCCTAATCGAAAGGATTGTTGAAGTTCTCCAAATAAAAGATGAAAAAAATCTAAAGTATAAAAATTACCAGACGGTTTTCTTTGGAACTTGAGGAATATATGCAACTATATCGCAAGCCTGGGGACACTGACAGCCAATAGCAGTTGGTGGCTTTTTCCAAAAATCTAACTTTGATAAACATATTAAACCCTTAATATCACACTCTTTCCCTTCTACAAAGAATGAGAGATAATTTTAATATGGAGTACATAATCTGCTTCTACAGTGGAATTCGTTTATTATGACTCCGCCTATATTGACCAACCGCTTAATATGAAGTAATTGCAGTGTTAAGTTTGGTGTTCATATTAAATTCTCTATAGGAAAGTTTGGATATAATGACTCCGTTTAAAATGACATCTCGTTTATTACGACTGATTTTCAAGAAATCATATCCGGCTATAGTGACCCAAATGATTAATAATAATAACATTTCGCTCATTTTTCTGACCCTTCTTATGTATATTGATATTACAATTCATCGTTCTTTTTCTTTTTCTGTTAATAATTATATACAATCTGTAGTTTTTCTCTCTATTAAACTAAATAACTAACCAAAATAGAAAGTTGTTTGTTTTCTAAGGGTATGCTTTGTACGACGCCCGCTTAGTGTGACGTGTTTGTCATTTCCTTTCGATGTCATTATAAGCGGATTCTACTGTACTTTAAACTGAAGGGTCGTGTACCGTTCATGTAATGGTAGAAAAGGGGTTTGCACTTGCAATGTTCCAAAGCCTTTTTGTATCTACAGTGCACATAGCAGAAGCTGGCACTGTATGCTGGCATTATCTTATCCGGCGGTTCATCATCAAAGCGGCAACCTCTTTGAGTCGGGGTGAAACTTCTTGTTGCCGAATCAGCAGTAGTTTCTTGCATTCTGTAATTAATTTCTATCTCTCCACTTTCGTCTAATAAAATAGGAGGATCCATGCTAATGTGAGGAATATCCAAATATGAATGGGCAAAATACTGCAATAACACAAGATCGCAACTAAAGAATTTTAATTAATTGAAATTTAACCAAACGTTTTTATAAATAAATACAGAACTTCCGGGAAGTCCAGAAATTGTATCGATAGATATCAAAAATGTTAACTATGTGGAATTCCTTATTAAACGTTTACCTCTAATTATAGTCTATCGCATAACAGTTTCAGAAAGTTGTTTATTGGAAATTCCTGGATATCGATGAGGGTGTTACTGGTACGTAACTCTGTACAATTGTTAGAATATTATCATCCCTTTGTTTAATTCCTTGTCATAAGTTTCTAATTGATTTCCTTCCTTCCTATCTTATTTTTATACATAATAAAGCTTTTGGTTTTTGCACAAAAAGGTAGAATGAATTTATATTTTTGAAAACAGACTATTGTCGTCATCAGTAATGAATACTTTTGAAAATATGTAAAGTTTACAATTTAACTGTTTTAAGCAGTAAATATCCCTGAAATTGTCTAAATGTAGTCTATAAGGGCGTAAGTTCAAGCTCGAGCTCTTTGTAATAACTTTCGCCAGACTAGCTATCGATTCTTCATTTCTTTACGAGAAAAGCAGCTTGCAGCTTGCACATTTTGTTTGCAACAATATTGTAAGGGATTCTCTTTTGTCTTAACTCCATTACATATTATTTAACTTAAAATAGAAGAGTTTTAAATGTCCCTTTTGATTAAAGAATACAGAATTGAAACATTACTTAGAACTTCTCCATGGTGTAAGAAAAAACAACTTTAAGTTCGAAGCCCTCAGTAGATTTTTCTTTTTTCTTTTATTAATAAGATCTATAGCAGATGGAAGGTCAACTTTGACTGCTGTTTTTGAAAAGTAAAAACTTTTAACTCCTGGATGGCATTGATTCGCCCATTGAATAAATATTAAGGGAAATTGAAGAATAAAATAAATGGTGCTATATTCTAATCTTTTCTTTAACTTTTAATGATAATTTAATAGATTTTCTGATTGTAATAACTTACTTGTATTGGTCTAGAAGGGTCAGAATCAAACCGAGCATAACAGAGACCGTTCAATATATGACAAGTAAATAAGTCTTCCTTGTTTTCATTATTTTCTGAATGAGGAACCCTATAGTTGCATAAATAAAAGATAATCATCAAATCAACTTAAAAATTTCGAATTTATAATGTAATAGTCTAAATAAAAAGCAAACAAAAAATGGGGAAAAATCTTACTGTAGAAAGTTTTCAAATTTAGAATTTATTGTGGCACAAAGACCTAATTCAGACATGGTCAATTTCCACGTAGCTTTTCTAGAATGCGATGTAGCGAATTTCCCATGAAATTCAGGATGAATCTAGAAAATACTATCTAATAAAATTATTACACAATTTAAAACAACCCACATAACTACAAAAATACATATACATATAATAATTATAAGCAATCAAAAAGGGTAAACATCTTATTAATTTTCCTTTACGATAAACGCAATTTTTAAAGATACATAGATGCTAATCTTGTACTACTATCAATAAATTCAATTGTCATTTAGTAACTTACCCTTAAAGCAATATCCAACACATCTATATCATTCAACTCAGTATCATTTTCAAATGATTCTAAACTTTTTAAAGTATAATAATTAAGATTTGCTACACTCTCAAGGAACTTCCAGTAGTATTCATATTTTGGCGAAGAATAAGTAATATTCCATATTCTTAAAAATTATTTACATTTTAAGGCTTTAGAAAGAACCCTTGACGCAATAAGAAAAAGAAGCAAAGTAAACCAAACAAACATTGAAAAAGTTAAGTTGAAACGATAAAATATTAACAGTCAGTTAAATGTGTAATAAAATACAACAATCAAACATCAATTTACCCTTTCTGTGTTGAAGATTAAAGGGATATAAATTAAAGTGAGTTATATAAATTTTTAAATCCAGAAATTTACTTACTCCTGTATAACACTCTCTGCTAATTCTTCGTCAAGTTTATCTACAAAACAACCAGTCATTGCTGGAAAGGGGTTGTGCCAATTTCTGTAATCTTTTTCTATCGAAATGACCGTTGGATTTTCACGAAATCTTCGTATATTCGATAATCCAATTACGCACAATCCGTAAAAACAAAAGCTAACAGCTAGAACCCAACAAACCCTACAATTTAAAGATATTTTCTTCAAAGTACCCTACAGTTTACTACATAATTAGAAACTGCAAAAAATGTTGGCAAATATTAATCTGAATTTTCTGAAATATTTTCTGTTTTAATTTTATAAATTCTGGTAGAACGAGTGAACTTTGAACATTATTTTCGTAACAATTCAAAAACTTTTAAAAATCAAAAATTTTCGACATATTGAATTATTTATTTATTCTAATGTATGAGATTTATCTTTTGGCGTATAGAAAGCGANTTAAAAATATATTAATCAGTTTCGAATTTTATAAATCACATACATGAAAATTTTCGAAATTATAAATACTATTTCTACTAGTGTTACAAAACTAACTCCCAAAAACAAACCCCCGGTACCACCGATTGCGGCTAAAAAAATAAATATGAACATTTTACACATACATATATTGTTAAATTAATTTTATTCAAATTCGCTAACTAATTTAATGTCAATAATATACATATTTTAACGGTTTAAAGATTCAAATGTAAAAATATTTTACAAATTCATGAACTTCAATGCTGTCCCATACCAAAGTATAAGGATAAGGAATTTTTATTTCTAAACGCTTATTTTAACTGCAAAATACGTTTATAATCGAGAAAACAGATACATAAAAAGTTGTTTTGTCATGTTCTATCCAGTACTGGCCGAGTCAAGCGATTGATTTTGAGAAAGGTCAGGATTATTTTTATCTTGGAATGCTAGAATCGTATATAGTTTAAACAACATTTACCATAAAAAAAGAGCAAACAATTCGTATTGAAAGTGTTACACCAATTTCACGCAAACAAAATGCAAAAATTAAGATCTTTTAACAAAGAAGACGTTCTGATAAGAAATAAAATTTTCTAATTAGGTTTAAATCAATTTGACTTGTTTCTTGAGTTTTACGAATTTGAAAGGTACTGATAAATACATGAGTCATCTAATCAATAAAGAATTAATTGTGTTATTAGCACAAATATTTTATTTTGCGAAGTTTCGTTTAAAATTTCAATATTACCTCACCTTTCAATTAGAAGAGTTTTGAAATTAAAAATATGATTTACACCATGTACGGTAGTATAATCAGATGAAAAATCAGTAATTTTCAAAGGTTTTTCCTTTTTATTTGAATCACCAGCCATTTCACTAACTATTTATTAAAAATTTATGTGTTTTCTGTCTAAACTTTTACTATTTATATGATTCCCTCAAATCATTAACAGCAGGTAAACAATAACTCCTTTGTTAATCTACTTTTGATTAATGCAAACAGATAAGTAAAATTTAATGTATGTATGATATATAATCACGTAAAGAAAGCTTTAGTAAAAAGCTTTTCGTTCATAAGCTTTATCTTTCCATATATCAGTGAACAATAAAGTATATGTAAAATTTGTTTGTACAGACATTAAGATCTACTAAATTTATTTATTTATTGAAAAACGAAACCATTCTAATATTAGCAATTAATTTTTTTCAATTATTGTTTTGGAAATTTAAATTGAAACTCAAAAAGAAATAAAAATCTCAAATTTCAATTATCTACACACGCTTTTCTTAAAATGCGATAAGTAATTTATCGGTCTCTTATCTCCAAAAAGAATTTTGAAAAATAAATAAAGATTTTGAATCGTGGCGAGATCTAGTGGCAAATAAATGTAACTCCTACTAAAATGGAAGACACCTCGCGACATCTACTCGTTAGGACATTAAATAAAATATGCGGGATTTATTGTATTTAAAAATTCAATTACAAAACTCTTAATTATTTTCAAAATTCGTAATTAATTCCTTTTTAAAATACCTGAATATTTTATAAAGAGTCTAAGTTGTTTTTTAAGGACTTATTTTCAACTACTATATTCGATTTAACTACATTGCTCAGCGTATTATAGATACTTTAGAAGCTTCCAAGTATTTACTTATAAATAAATGAATATTTCTTTTAGATAATTTATAATTAACTTGTACAAAACTTACTTTTATGCATGTGTGTTCAAAAGAAGTAATAAATTTTTATTTTTCACTCAATAACTCAACACCATTAATAGCTATAGAAATAAAGATTTTTATTNAGGTCCAACAGTATAAGTATTTTTAATTAAAATACTACAAGAAACCAAAAAAACGCTTTTCTAAACCCGAAATATCTTCCTCAATATTAGAAATAAGTCTCACCTTAGGTATGAAAACGGATTTTAGGCTTTTAAATGTTTTTATATAGGTTTTACTGTTTTATTAAACGAAAATCCTTGTTTATAGATAATAAACAAATAGTTACTCCTAATAAAAATAACTTCTATATTTTACAATATATTTTAATCCATAAAAAAGACTTTGCTTAGCATTTCAAGTAGTTTAAATTTAAATTTCTTGAATAATCACAAATGGTAGATAAAAATTTCTTATATCTTTTCAGCTTTGAATTCTTTTTGTTCTGTTAATGCTCTGGATTCATGGACAAAGACAACGAAATTAATGCCCTGTAAAGTAAAGAGACAAAGCAATTCTAGTAAAAAGTAAGATAATGTTAAGGACTTATTACTTGTTGTTTTGCAGCTCTAACAAATCCATCATTAGCAGTCACAGTAACTGCTTGAATCCTATCTCCAAATGTGAAAATAATAAAGGATCTCTCCTTTATTTTCCCACCAACTTTTAGCTGTCTATTTGGCAATAACTGAACATTATTAAATATAGCATTAACTGGACTTTTATCTAATGTATCTGATGAGGTAGCATTGTCAGGAAGAACGTTTATTCTTTTCAAGAGCTCTTCACCTCTTTGTATTTCATTTGGACCTCCAACAGTATTCAAAATTTCCAGGAAACTATTTCTGGCTGTTTCACAACAGTAAAGAGTCTTATCTAAAAGATATAAAAATAAGATTGGTTGAAGGCAATGGAAATACATTTAAATAAAAGAATACCTTTAAAAAAGGCATCTAAAACAGGTTTGACAGGCCTCTTAGCCTCCCATTCGGCTTGCTGAGCCAGAACTTGTGTTTGAAGTTTGTATTTTAGGCAACTACCATTAGTAACAGAGCTTACATAAGCCAGCATAGCAGAAACATCTAAATTAACCTTTTTTATTTCTGATATATCTTTTGTAGACAGTTGTACCTGTTGTATATCTTCATATTCTGTAAAATCCTCATCAACAAGCCTCTCACCTTTTACTATTATACCAATTGACTCCAAATGCTTTGCTAAATCTTCATATATGCCATTTGCGAATATAAATATTATCTAAAAATTATATTGAGTGTATAAGAAATTAGTGACCTGTGCAAGCTTCACCATACATTTGATTTACAAATATTCAAATTTCAAACTGAAGTTATTTTTAATAAAATCAAATATAGCCTATCTTACTTAGGGACAGTGTAGCTTTCTATTAGTCAAATCCTTTTCAGAATTGGTTTACTAATTGCAGAATTACCCCTATATAAAAATAAACAAAACTTATCTCTTTTATAACCAACCTTAGGGGTTTGAAATAGACATGGATATATCTGGGCACACTCTAGGTAGTCATAGGCTTGATCTAAGACACTTCTAACCCCATAACTTCCATCTCCTAAACAAATTTGTTTTATAGATTTTGGATTTCGTGCCACTACCTTTACCCATGTTAAACCTCCATCACATATAATATCAATGGTAATCTTTCTATCATTCAAGTTAAAAACTTTGTTAACAGCCAAACAATTATCTACATTTGATAATGTATTTATTAAGGCACTAAAATGAGTCAAGTTGGAGCACTGAAGATGTTCTTTCTTTAATAAGCCACTATTGCTTATCTAAAAAATTAAAGGGTTCATTAGTTGGGTTCCTAAGATATTAAAGATGTTCCAAACCTTTCTTAAAAACTTCAATTCCTGTCTTATTTTGCGATCTACCTTTAAAATACCATCAAAATGTCTTAGGCCTACAAGAGACTGTAAAAGTTTCTCTCCAAACTCTATTTTTTCTTCAGTCATATGAATCAAATTCTTCTCACCTTCCTCAACCATTTTTCTTTAATATGTATTAATGTTTAAAATCATGTTTAAAACCAAATTATGATATAATTATTTCCAAATACAACTCCCTGAAAAACAAAGGTTATGTTTAATATTTACTATTCAGTTCAGTTAAGTTTTTATATATAGAAGAATGAACGTATCTGAAATGAGTAACTGATTTGACCCTGTACGTTGTACTGTCAATAACAATAAGTAAACAAGCTGTCTGTTTACTTTTTAATGATAAGTATATTTTAGGAAGTAATGGAATAAAAAACTGATTTAAAACAATCAATGGTTGAACCAATATTTGATTACCAATTCCGTCTAATTTTAATTGGTGACAGTACAGTAGGAAAAAGTTCCCTACTGAAATATTTTACCGATGGGAAGTTTGCAGAGGTCCTACTATTTAATGTTTTATCTTAAATTAAGCTTAATTTTACAATTATTTTAGGTTTCAGACCCAACAGTCGGTGTTGACTTTTTCGCCAGACTTATTGAAGTTGGAGATGGAACCAGAATAAAACTTCAACTTTGGGACACTGCAGGTATATACCTTTGTTAAAAATATAAATTCAATACAGTGGTTTTAATTGCTTGTTTGCTGTTAGGACAAGAAAGATTTCGCTCAATAACCAAGTCCTACTATAGAAACTCAGTGGGTGCTTTACTAATTTATGACATTTGCAACCGAGCCAGTTTTGAACATATTCCAGTATGGATGTCTGAAGCAAAAAGACATATAGAGCCTCATAGACCAGTGTTTGCTCTTGTTGGCTGTAAATTGGACCTTGTAAATAATGGAGGAAGAAGAGAAGTATCTAAAGAGGAAGCAAAAAGTTTTGCAGACCAATATGATACAGTTCATGTGGAAACATCAGCAAAGAATGGCATAAATGTAGAAGAAGCTTTCCGTTCTGTTACCCAAGAAGTTTACAATAGAATACAGACAGGTGAATATAAAATCCAGGATGGGTGGGATGGGATAAAGACTGGATTTACAAGACCTAATGGGCTAGATTTTAATTTAGTGGAAGCTGAACCTGCCAAAGCTCCGTGTTGTTAATGTTTATTATTATCATTAAATTATCTTTAAGTTAATTAAAGTCTCCATTATTTGATTTGTAATAACACAAATCTGACACATTAATTCTTTTTTTAATTGTATTTGAACATGATATTCACTTTTATGTAGATTTTCNATTTATCATTAACTTATAGTAGATATTAAATAGAAAACAACTTTTTCTTTTCTAAAATGTTTTATTATTTTGTTACAAAACAACAATTGTTATGATTTTTATTTTGTAACAAAACAAGTAAAAAGTTGTAGTTAAACTTTCCTATTTATTTACTTTAAGTTTTAATTAACTGAAAAAGCAAAACTCGTTTATTTTTTTCATTATCTGACGATTATAAGTAAATGTTTATAACATTTTTAAGTGCAAATGTCAAGGCTATCAAACTAATCTTGAGATGTATGCACTTTCCTGTTAAATTAATGAATTATTTACCATTTAATTTGAATGAATTGTAAATAATGTGATGTTAAGGTAAACTGTTGCACGATATTTTTTTCGAAAATTGTCTTAATTGGCACATCGAAGCCCCTGTAGTAACATTTTATTGGTCATTAATTTTGTAATTCAACTCCTGATACTTCTTTGGAATGTTTATAAATAATTGCAGTGTTTTAAATGATTTACCAGTTCACCTTCTTGTAGTTAAACTAAATTATTTAGTAACTAGCTGATTCTTGCGACTTTGCTTGTAAAGATAGGCACACTGGTGCAAATATTGCGAGGCTGTCGCTTACTTTACGATGTAGCAGAAGTAGAAACCTTTCAAAATAAATTGATCTTTGTTAATTAAAAAGGCGACAATTGTATAATTTTCAGTGTTGGGTAGATTATAAATGTAAGCATCACGGTTTCATATTTTTGCTGTACTAGAGACCTAAGTTTTTTACACATGTATCTTCTAGTCGCATTAATTAAATACGTAGTATACATATAAGCGATACTAAAATTAATATATTAACTTGGCAAAGTTTCTACACGCACGAAAACTTTGTTTTTTCCCCTTGTTACCATTTATATAAATTTAAATCTTAATAAAGAAACCTGCTTAATAGTTGTTTTTGTTTTTTATTGAGGTAATGCATGAGTGAATTGCCTTGAAAACGCCATAAAGAATTATTAATATTGATAAATTCCATTGCAATTCTGCGATTAAAATAAATTTAAAATGTTAATTAATTTTTTAAATTTTATGTAGGTAGGTTAGGCAACCAATTCTACTGCAGTGTTCGAAAACTTTTATATGTACGTTAGAGGTTGCAGAAGTTTAAGGAGTACTAGGCGGCCATCATGGATTTTAATTGTTAAAAGACGCGCCCGCGAAAATCTACTATTCAAAATCGCGCACAAAGTAATGCAACTAATGATCAATTTTAGTTTATTATTCGTAAACAAAAACTGATTATCCGTTTGTTAACGATCAAGCTGTTGTAAATCAACAAGATAAATAACTTACAGATGTAAAATTACAAGAAATAGACAATATTAATAAATAAACGAAAAGTGCGCTCATTTTTACTGTACAATTTGTAATATCGTTTTCTACGCGATTAGAATAGTATAAAAGAGCTTTCGCAACTAAAAATAAATACTGCACGTTATTATATCATCACTACTGTTATTATTATTAGGATTATTCGTTTTGTGACCGATGCACTCTGCCTTTATCTATAAAAAGCCGCCTTTGTAAGCTTGAATGCAATTGTCAAAGTCAGCTGTCTGTCAGTTACGTAGATTCCCGTGTAATTATTTATTTAAAAAGTGGTCGTACAGGCATCAGAGTGTACAGTCGCGCCTGTGCGTCTGTTAGTTGGAACAAGTCTCGTTCTAACACCATCAAAAACGAGACACAAAAGTTCAGCGCGCGTTGGTTCGTCGGTAAAGGGTCGCGGAAGGTTCACACAACAGCGAAATACCTGATGTCCAGACATTGACCGAGTCTCTTACAATTAATTGTAGCATATATTCTTCACCAATTAGCTACGTTAAATATAACCGATTACTGTAGCAGTGTTTTTAAAGTGGACTGAAAAACAGAAAGATGTTACCCGCCGTTTCACGGTCTCTCCTGTGAGTAATGTACCAGTTTTTGTGTGTTTTCAAAAGTATTTTTGGTTCCCTAACTTTTGCCAAGCACCAACAATAATAATATAGTCATATAAATACACAGCAAAGGTAGGAGACGTATTCACGTGCACCGCTGATATTTTGCAAACATGCGGATGTATTGGCGGCTTGATATATCGCGAATACTACACAAATCAATAAAATCGCTTGAAATTGAGAATCAGTGGGCTGAAAAAACAACGTGCTCATAAATTTCACATGTAATACGTATATTTTTAAATAGTTATCTGCCAAAAAATACTTTATATATTAATTAATTTTTTTGTAAATGTTCTCTGCAATTCTCTGTAATTGTACCATAATATTTGGAACAAAGGCGATGCTATATGCATATTATAAGTTCAATTTACGTTTATTATTTTTATAAAATGTAGATAAGGTATATGGTAAACCTGTCGGAAACAGTATTGATTAGCGCAGTCTAATGAATGAATTGTAGTCCCAGCTAATAATATATGCAAATACAAACGTGGTATAGCGCATTATATAATGGTAATGGTATTTGGTACATGTACAAGCATAAAATACAACGCGAATCTTATTTCAAATGACCTTGCACAAAAATCCATTCCATTACGAATTAGGTAGTTATAATTTGTTGACTGATTTTGGGTTGACTAATTCACAAAGAGGCACTAAAGTTTTCAATTTTCTATGCAGGAACTTTTCCTTATTATATGTTAAAAAAATTTACCAAAATGTAGAATACATACAGCTGGTGACTTAATGATTAGGTAAATAAAGGCGTTGTAGGTCGGTGTTAAGAAATCAATAGCACAAGGTCAGTTACTTCCGAAATACTACTACTGAAATTGATAAAAAAGACACTTCATTAGAGGGCTATTTAATGTTACTTTATGTTAATACCATATTCAATTCAGCAAAAGAAATAATATCCTATCATTTCATAAAATTAATTTCGAAATTGAATACCTAGCAATAAATAGAGAATCGATTATTTCAAAAAAAAAAAAATGCGTAATTACTACAGAAAAAGTACGAGAAAGTTTCAGAATTTTATTTTAAGGAACCTGTTTAATTTTTTATAAAATAAGTTATTTTATTAATTAACATTATAACCAGTCTTTTTCTTGTTGTAATGAAAATGTTTAAACCATACAAAATTAAAGATTTAGATCTCTTTATTCGCCACGTACGTATGTGATTTGCAAAAATAAATTAGG